AGTCAACGACTTCTGCAAAGTGTGCATGTATGTGTGTGTGGGCGCGCGCGATAGAGAGAGAGAGAGAGAGAGAGAGACAGAGAGAGAGCTTCACATGTGATTCAACTGTTCTCATGGTTACTAGGTGGAAGACAGAATATCTAGGAAGAAATAAAAAATAATAGCAAACACACTGAGTGCATACTCTGTTAAGAGCTTTACCTTATCTCACTTAACCATGACAATAGCCTTATAAAATGGATACTTTGTCCATTTTATAGATGAGAAACTGATATTTAGAGTGATTAGAAAGTTCAAACATTAGATAGGGAATTGTAGAAAATTCACTGAAGCAGAGAAAATTTCCTTGTGTTCCAGCTCTGAATAATTCTATCATGATGAAAATTAGAAACATCGATAAATAGGATACAGAAATAAAGTTGACAAAGTCTCATAGATCAATAAAAACTTTCTACAATTGGAAATAGAGAGGATGAGAGTTCAATTGAAATGCAAACTCAGATACAAAGGAGGCGATGGGATGTGTGAATACTGAAGAGGATCCACAGACAGTGATGAGTGAGGTGGATGCAGAGAGAGAATCCTAATAGGACCAGCACTTGGAAATCGCTGAGTAAGAGGGCAGTGCCCTTTAGGGACTGGAAAGCAACTTCAGAACTACTTTATGTTGCTTATAAATGCAGCATATATTTTCATACATAAAATCACTATTATTGACTCTATAAAAATAGTAAACATTTAATAACTATATAAATATAATTAGGTGATATGCTTTACGTAATTAATCTTCACAACAATCTTAAAAAGCTAGGTGTCAATATCTCAAATATATAAATGAGAAGAGCGAACATTAGGGAGGTAAAGTAACTTTTTCAGGATTATACAACCCTGTATCTCTGTCTCTGTCTCTCTCTCTTTCACGCGCGCGCACACACACACACACACACATTAGTGTACATACCCTGTATAATCTTCTATTCTTGGGTGTGGCAAGACCAGTGAACCTGATGGGATATCACTTCTGTGATTGGGTTTCTAATCAGTGGACTTTGACTTAATCAAAAGGGAGATTATCCTTGATGGGCCTGACCTAATCAGGGGAGCCCTTTTTTTTTCTTTTTTTTTGAAACAGAGTGTCACTTTGTTGCCCAGGCCAGAGTGAGTGCCATGGCATCAACCTAGCTCACAGCAACCTCAAACTCCTGGGCTCAAGCAATCCTCCTGCCTCAGCCTCCCAAGTAGCTGGTACTACAGGCATGCGCCACCATGCCCGGCTATTTTTTTTTCTATATATATTAGTTGGCCAATTAATTTCTTTCTATTTATAGTAGAGACGGGGTCTCGCTCTTGCTCAGGCTGGTTTCGAACTCCTGACCTTGAGCAATCTGCCCACCTCAGCCTCCCAGAGAGCTAGGATTACAGGTGTGAGCCACCCTGCCCAGCCAGGAACCCTTTAATAAAAGGTGAAATGTCAGATGGACATTTGAAGTAGCAAACTGGCAAGCTGTGGAGAGAACCATGTGGCAAGGACCTCAGTGTGGCCTGTAGGAAGTGAAAGCAGTGGCTGACAGGTAGCAAGAATATGGGGACCTGAGTCATAGGACCACAAGGAAGTGAATTCTGGCAGTAACTTGAGGGAGCTTTGAACTGGATCTTTACTTAATCAAGTCTCCAGATGAGTTTGTAGTCAGCAGACACCTGAATTTCAGTCTCCTGAGACCCTCAGCAGAGAATGCAAGTAAAATTGTGTGAGACTCTTGACCTACCAACACTGAGGTGATATATTTGTGTTGATTTAAACCACTAAACTTGAGGTAATTTGCCATGTAATAATAGGAAACACAAAGTATATAATTTGTTGTTTTTCAACATCTTTTATAAGCTGGAAAATTATTTATTTTCTTTTTCTGACTATAAAAGTACATTATTACATATCATAGCAAAATCAGCCATTTCAGAAATCTATATGAAAAATATTCTTAGTTCTAGAAACACTGTATATAGAAATACTTTCATTCTTTTCTATTGATGTCTTTAAAAAGAAGAAAATAGATTATTGTTTTATAGTAAACAATACTATATGCTTTAGTAGTAAATGCTTTCAAATTCAATAAATTTAAAAAATAGCAACACTTTCCAAACCATGTCCTACACATTCTGCAAGATATTAACCAATGTTTCAAGAATAAAAACTGTTCTGTTGAAGTAGGTTTGGGAAATAATGCTTATTATATTCTTCTTTTTTTGGAAAATTATACAAAAACTTGAGGAAATCTGGCAACAAATAAAACATTTTAATTTTATTATTTATTTAACATGAAGTTATTTCCCACCAGGTGACTCTACCTCTTTTCGTTAATAACATGAATTCAAATGATGGATAGATCTAAACTACCCCTGGATGAAACAAGATAACACACATATCTTCAGTGAGTGCCATTACTTTCCTAGAGCCTAGGATGTTGAATTAAATTATGTGGAATTCCATGTCTTTGACTTCAATTAGTGTATAATTAATTAGAAGTAAGGGTAAAGGTCTATTTAATTCCTATGGTATAGTTGTCAACATAATGCAATAAACAACCTCTTAAAAATTACTTTTATGACTCTAAATCAAGGGACCAGACCCCATAGTACAATCATCAAATTATTAGTGTTATATTTTTTGCACTGCATTTTAATTGGAATTTACACAAACTGTCATGTGTTTGGAGGATAATCAGAGAAGATGACAGGTTCACCGTGGCATTTTAAACAAGTGGAATTAGACATTTTTTTTTTTTTGAGACAGAGTCTTACTCTGTTGCTTGGGCTAGAGTGCTGTAGCGTCAGCCTAGCTCACAGAAACCTCAAACTCCGGGCTCAAGTGATCCTACTGCCTCAGCCTCCCGAATAGCTGGGACTACAGGCATGTGCCCCCATGCTGGGCTAATTTTTTCTACATATGTTTTTAGTTGTCCAGCTAGTTTCTTTCTATTTTTAGTAGAGATGAGTGTGTGTGTGGGTGGGGTGTCTTGCTCAGGCTGGTTTCGAACTCCTGACCTTGAGCAATCCTTCCACCTCGGCCTCCCAGAGTGTTAGGATTACAGGTGTGAGCCACCGTGCCCCGCCAGAATTAGACATTTTTGTAAAGTCAGGAAAGGCAGAACCAGAATCAAAACATGGCTGAAATAGTCAGGAAGTCTTTGGCTCAATAAAAGGATGTACTATAATTCCAAAAAATGACAGCTACTCTTAAGTATATTGGGTCTGATTAACATTTATTCTCTGGTATATTTAAGTAAAGGATGTGAACTAAAATAACAGCTTAAGGCTCCCCCCCCCCCAGACTGAATGGACCCCCTCTTGGCCAAGGGAATATCCTAAAACTAAACTGCCTGCAGACATGCCTCATCGTGTTTCCCTCCTATTTTGGAGACATCCTTTGTAACCCATTAACACACCTAAGGGTATGCAAGACAAACCTGCAAGTCCTCAATTTACACAATAAATATATGTTGAGTGGTTTGTCTTTGATTAACAGCTCCTTATCTTAAAACATTCCAAGCCTTTAGACAAAGCTTCATGTCTTTAACAAATTACAAGGCAAAGAATTTTTAAACCCACCTATAGCTGTAAGCCCTCCCCCACCCCCCTGCCCCCACCACGGCCCACCTTTTCCTGCTAAACCAATGTATGCCTTCCACATATTCATTTATGACTTTACCTATAACCCTTCTCCCTGAAATGTATAAAACCAAACTAGAACCCAGCCACAGCAAGTCCACTTGCTCAAGCCTTCTTGGGCGTGACTCCTGGTCATGGTCCTCAAATTTGGCTCAGAATAAATTTCTTTAACATTATTTTACAGAGTTGGCCTTTTTTCCATTAACAAGGCTAGGGGACAACCTCCTTGAGATATTGTTGGGGGAATTTCCTGCTCTCAGTCTAAGGCTGGTGGCTTCTAAAATCCTATCAGTCGCTCTCCTACTGTGGACTACAGCGTCCTCAACCATAGCCAAGTAGCAGTAAAGTCTGCAATAGGAGGCAGTCTAGGTAGATTACCTAAACTCAAGAAAGCAGTATCTGTGTTTTTACAGGAATGGCCTTTGGACATCAACGTGCTTTGGTAAGAAATGTGTGAACAATGAGTATAAACTGTAACTCTGTACACCATTCCTAGGCTTGGACGGATGCGTTATAACAGAGCACATTACTATTTGAGATTCTTGTGCACACCCTGTGTGGAAGCCCAACAGTGCAACATGCAAATCGATAGTGGACTGATTGGACTTACCAGGATATAGTATCTCAAGAGGTCCTTTTGGGCTAATAATAATACCGTTTATGGAGCCAAGATTTCTGTAAATCATCACCTTATCCAAAGTAGGTTACTGTCCTCATTTTACAGATGAGGGTCATATTCACGCTATTGGTACGAACAAATGGCTCTTAACTGAAACAGGCGCCTGTGTATTTCTAAGATTTGCCCTTCCCTGGAATCCCAGGGCTAAGATAAGCTCTCAGACACTTTTTCTTTGGATTTTGGAAAGGAGCGACATGTTACAGTTACAGAGCGTATGCCACTTTCCCAGTTCAGGATTTCAGACCCAGGGGCTCTCCTTCTGTGTTAGGGCGTGCATCAAGAAACGTTTATTTACTGAGTTGGCATCACACCAAGACCGCAGCTGTAATCTCTACAAAACCCCAGCATAACTACTCCTAACCTCTCGCTAACCGTGGTCAGTTCGGCTCTGCTTGGCTCTCAGTCTCCGAAAAAAGGAAATAGAGCCTATAGGCTTTGGGAGATGACGTATTTCCCGCGCGCCGCGAAGTCCGGAAGCCCAGGCGGCAGACGCGAGGTGGAGGCCGGGCCTGCAGTGGGCCGGGCGTTTTCAGAGGCAACCTCGGCGGGGGATCTGAGCTAGAGGCGGGAGCTGAGGCGTGGGGCAGGGCTTGCAACCCGGCGACGGCTAGTGGTTAAGCGGGGCGGGGTGAGGCGCGGCCTCCTGACCGCCCAGCCTGCCACTGGCTCTGCTGCCGGCAGCCGGTAGAGCTCGTGTCGGTCCAGTCCGCGCGGCTGCCGGCTCCTGGAGCTGTGGTTCTCTCCCTGCCTCCTTCGCGGCTTCAGCCTCGGCCACCCCCTCAGCCCTCCGGCGCCGCAGCTGGCGCCGCCGCCCGACCCGCAGTCCGCCGCGGGCCGCGGAGCCCATGAAGGCGCGGGCCCCGCCGCCGCCTTCGCGGCGTCGCAGTCGTCCCAGAGCTCCCCGAGCTGGCGCGGGCATGGCCACGGCATGAGCGTGCAGCTGCCGAGGGAGCTGGAGGAGAAGGCGGTGTCGGAGCCCGAGGCGGGAGCTATGCCGGAGAAGCGCGCGGGCCCGCAGGCCGCGGGCAGCAGCAGCTGGGTGAGCGCGGGCGCGGCGTTGGACCGCCGGAGTCCCAGGGAGGCTGGGTGGGGTTGCGTCTGGGGCCCGCGAGCCCGGTGCGCCCGGCGGGACTCCGGCCCTCGGGAAGCCAGTCATTTTCTGGGTGAGCCTAATTCATCACTAAAACAGGCTTTCCCGGCGACTCCACACCGCTAGGCAAAACTTCAGGTGATTTGGTTATTGTTTCAAAAGGAGCCATGCGTATGACTACATACAGTAACTATAGTAATTTGGTTATTTCACAGTTCTCCATCCTTGTGACAGTCGATACAGTTTTCATGGCGCAGTTTCTGCCCAAGGCTACTCAGACAACCAGTAGGGAGTCTTTTGAACCAGATTCGTCCTACAGTACCAAATAGTCGGCTGGGAAGTTGGCAGTGAAGGTTGGGCAGCGCCTTCCTGCTCTTTCTGCCGTTCTCCAGTTCTCCAGTTCTCCAGGCGTCTGAGGAGCTGTCGGCCAATGGGGAGCAGTGTCAGGGGAAGCCACTGATCCCAGGGCCAGCTGAGGAGCAAGTTCAGGCTGGTCTCTTTCTCTGGTTTTACTTGAAATTGAATGGTTTCTGACAGCAGTACAGGGAGCCCTGACATAACTGGCCTGGATTCGGCAGAACAGGCCTTGCCGGTAGTGCCTTGGTTTCACATGGTGGAATACTAAGCATAGAGGGTCTGTCGTTTCTTCAAGGCCTAAACTTAAGTTTTGTTGGGGTCTGTTTAGGACTTGGAATATAGGAAATGTTACAGTGAATAGAAACTGACACCATGGAAGAGTTTTTCCAGAGATAAATATAAATTTTATGAAAAATATATGCGGTCAGCTTTAGGTTTTTAGCTTACATATCTGGTTTTGCTTTAATGCAAATATGCATTAAATGTGCATATTTGGAGATGTGAATCCCCATTAGTAGAATTGGGAGGGCGTGTGAAGTAGAAGTAGCAGTAAGTAATATGGAAGCAGCAGAGCTCGTTTCTAGTCCTGGTTCTACCGGAACAATGCCCACTTCCGGCAGGGTATTGACAGCACCCTGCCACTCAGTGCTTAAACTGTGAAATAAGCACTTAGTAATGTTGAAGACCCCTCCCAGCCCAAATGACTCCTTAGTTTTGAAAAAACATTAGGGGCCCCTGATTTCAAAGATCAAATCTCTGTAATGTAAGAAGTATATCTTGTCAGGGGGAGAGAAGTTGCATAGAATTGGTTTCTCTCATTTTGATTTTGATTAGGTAGACTTGCCCTCTTCTTGTCCCCTAAACAAAACTAAACCACCATCTCCTTCTTCTGCCTTCTCATTACTAACCAGTGGCAAGCTAGTAATCCGAGGGGTAGCTTCCTTCATCCCTTCCCATACCTAACAACCAGAAAGTCCAGCTAAGTTTACCAGGTACAGATTTTAGGTTTTTATCCTATCCTTTGCATTCCTATGGTTCATTTCCTCAGCATTTTTGACCTAGATTTTCACCATCTCTTTTGAGATTCTTGCTTACCCTTCTACATTGTTGATTAATGTGATCTAATATGAAAATGATCATTACTGCTGTCCTTAATTTTTTTCATTGCCTCCCTGTGTCTTACAGAATAAAAAATAAACTGGCAGGTTGAAGCATTGTTAGCATAGTGATTAGGTGAGCATGCTTGGAATCCCAGTTTCCACCTTCATTACTGGTGCAACTTTGGGTAAGTTGCATACCTTCTAATTAAAAAGAGTATTTACCTTATGGAATTGTGAGGGTTGCTGCAACCTGGCACCTAGTAAGCCCTTACGTATTATCTGTTATTGTTATTACTTATAAGTATTTTTTGCATGTATAAATTGAATAGTCACAATATATAGGTGATCCCCCCGACTGTGATAAAATAATTTGTTCTCTCCCATTTCTTAATCTAGACAGGAACTAGACCCCTACCTAAAAATTAAAGTTGCTTATTTTATGTGCTTAGAGCAGGAACTTTTGAGAGATGTTTACTCAAAGAAATGTAGACTTAATTTATTCCCCAGTTTCTTCTCCTTTGTATCCTGGTGCTAAGCTGCTAATTTTGGGCAAAAGTAGATTTCTTCCCAGTCTTTCTTTATCTCTGAGAGTGTATAGAGTCGGTGTTGATAAACTGCAGTGAATACTAAGGAGATTTTCTTGGTGTTTGCTGTAGTTAGTGAGATAACTAGCATGGGCAGGTGGCAGTGCTTGTCTGAGTGTGTGGAAGCTGGGAAAGCAGTGAATGCCTTTAATCCTATGTTCATGTCATATGCCACTACCCTCAAATTATGAATTTTTAATGCTTGCAGTTTCTGTCTAATATCACTTCCAGGTGCCTGTCCTACAGTCCCCATGACTTTCTTTTTAATGTGGTGGAATTTCCTTATAGTTTGGTTCCAGTGACACTCTGGTTTTCAGATGCTACTAACAGTCACAGGGAAGACTGTGCCCATATACAGGGAATCAGCTGACAACTTTTTTCCACCTTGTTTGGCAAAGAGATGTATTGACCTGAAAAAGATACTGGCAAAGAGATGTTATGATATGAAAAATAGAAGGGCGTCAACTCTGAAATCATTTCCCTCTAGAATAGGGAGGTGTGTATTGTCCTCTCTTTGCTCTAGCCCTCCACTGCAGATGTTTTATCAGAATTATTTGTATGTCATTGAATGTAGATTTGCCAGTACACTTATCATTCACAGCCAGGTGAAGGAAAAGTCCTTAATGGAGTTATATGCCCTTCGACATTTGATGAGAATTAAGGATTTGTTGCAAAGACATACATTTCAGATTGTTTATGGACTCCAAGAAGCCAATGCTTGGAGACCAGTTAAGGGCACTGATGTGGGGTCTCAAAGAATCAGTGTCTCTCTTGTGACATTTGATGTCTCTTGAGTTCGTTTTCCTTAGACTGTTTCAGAAGGGACTCTGTGAAGGTTAATGTTGATTTTTTTTTTGAGAACAAGATTATTATATAGGCAAAATGGAAATAATACTGGGGGGTAGCTTCTGTTTACAAAAAGGCTAAGGTATGTTTTGTTTATAAAGAGTAAAAGGAGAGCCACCACAGATCCCCAGCCTCAGGCACACAGCACCTGGGAGCGAAAGAGCAACATGGCGGTGAAGGGCAAACCCGAGAACCTGTCCCTGGTGGTGCATGGCCCCGGGGACCTGCGCCTGGAAAACTATCCTATCCCTGAACCAGACCCACATGAGGTACTACTGAAGATGCATTCTGTTGGAATCTGCGGCTCAGATGTCCACTACTGGCAGCATGGATGAATTGGGAATTTTGTTGTGGAAAACCCATGGTGCTGGGGCATGAAGCTTTGGGAACAGTCGTAAAAGTGGGATCATTGGTGAAGCACCTCAAGCCAGGTGATCGTGTTGCCATTGAGCCTGGGGCTCCCTGAGAAACCGATGAATTCTGCAAGGTTGACCGGTACAATCTGTCACCAACCATCTTCTTCTGGGCTACACCTCCCGATGATGGGAACCTCTGCCGGTTCTACAAGCACAATGCAAACTCTTGCTACAAGCTTCCCGACAATGTCACCTTTGAGGAGGGAGCCCTGATTGAGCCACTGTCTGTGGGGATCCATGCCTATAGGCGAGCTGGAGTCACCCTCAGCAACAAGGTCCTTGTGTGCGGAGCTGGGCCAATAGGGCTGGTCTGTTTGCTTGTGGCCAAAACAATGGGAGCAGCTCAAGTAGTGGTGACTGATCTGTCTGCTTCTCGGTTGTCTAAAGCCAAGGAGTCGGGGCTGATTTAGTCCTCCAGGTCTCCAAGGAGACCCCTCAGGAGGTCGCCAGTAAAGTGGAAGGTCTGCTGGGGTGCAAGCCGGAAGTCACCATTGAGTGCACCGGGGCAGAAGCCTGGATCCAGGCCGGCACCTACATCACTTGTTCCAGTGGGACCCTGGTGCTCGTGGGGTTGGGCTCTGAGATGAACACGGTACCCCTTTTGAACGCAGCCGTCCGGGAAGTGGATATGAAGGGTGTGTTCCAATACTGCAACACGTGACCAGTGGCGATTTCGATGCTGGCGTCCAAAACTGTGAATGTAAAACCTTTAGTAACCCATAAGTTTCCTCTGGAGAAAGCTCTGGAGACTTTTAAAATATCCAAGAAGGGATTGGGGGTGAAAGTCATGATCAAATGTGACACCAATGACCAGAATTCGTGATGTTAGTTGGACTTGCCCTCATCCCCCCTCTCAGTACCTCAGAGCCAACAGACTGGACAGGGGTAGGTGTAGGTTTTGATGCGGAAGTTTCTTTTGAATGGTGAGAATAATTAATAGTTATAATTCTTTGTAAATAGAAGGCCTTATCCAGAGGAGTTAGTGTTCCTTAAATACACAAGTAGGGATAGTTTTGGGGAACTTGTAGCCTGAATGACCTGTTCATGCTGAGGTAAGTTCAGCAAACAGAGCAGTGTCTGGCAGGCAGGTGCTGGGAAATGCCCTTGTTCCTGGAGTGCCTTCCATGAATAATGGGAGAAATCGGTCTTTTTGGTTCCTGGTTCCACCACGACTGGGCCAGGAGGCACCTGGAGGCTGAGTTATGAAGAGACAACTTTGTCAAGACTTTACAGGCCCAGAAACTGATTTTCATAAAAATCTGCCACTCCATGTCTGCAGTGAGGGAAGTCAGCAGTTTTAGATTAGAGCACAGTGTTTCTTGAGATAAGTGCCGTTTGGTTTGATGATAAAAGGAGAATAAGAAAAGGGACCTGGCCGGGCACTGTGGCTCACACCTGTAATCCTAGCTCTCTGGGAGGCCGAGACGGCGGATTGCTTAAAGTCAGGAGTTCGAAACCAGCCTGAGCAAGAGCGAGACCTCATCTCTACTATAAATAGAAAGAAATTAATTGGCCAACTAATATATATAGAAAAATTAGCCGGGCATGGTGGTGCATGCCTGTAGTCCCAGCTACTTGGAAGGCTGAGGCAGAAGGATCGCTTGAGCCCAGGAGTTTGAGGTTGCTGTGAGCTAGGCTGACGCCAT